TTGACATGATCATATTGCTTGCTTAGACGATACAGCATGTCCCAGCAGAAAAACAGCATTTTGATAAATGAGCATGGCCTGAACCGTGAACCTGTCCCTCTAAATAAACGTCCTCCTCACTTAATGATATCACTAATTCATTTGCAAGTTGGCCTGGTGCAAATGGTCCGTCTTTATTCGGTTATCAATTCCACTGGACGACTTTGCAAAAAAAAAATTAAGTTTTTCATATTCTGATCTAACCTATAACGAAGTCCTTGAATATTCCAGCTTCCAGTTTTCTGTCAAGAACTAACTAAAATTGTGGGTCATACATTTGGCCATAAAGACACCATCCACGCTTACAAAAGCGGCAAAAAAACGTGAAATGCAATGAATGGTCTTATGTAACCTTTATTTAACTTTTCATTCTATATATTTTCTTAATATAACTAATATTTATGTGCTACGGATCTGCTTGTTCATGTTCTTCACGAATTAGTTACTTCCAGTAGGCGTCCAGGATATGTTCTTGTCTAGTTCTCAACTTCATTCTTATAATACAAGAAATGCCATGAATTACAGATCTCAATTTTCTAGAACCCATTTTAGGAATACCCTCCCTGCTGAACTCAAAGACGAATCTTGTCTTTCAAAAGAAAATTGTCTTTAAAAAGAACTTACATAGATTTTTAGTTCAACAAGCTAACCTGTCCTAATTATTTCCATATTGTCGATTAATAATTTCTTGTATAGCCCAGTTTTTTTTAACTAACTTTTAACTGTTTTTAAATGGGTAGCCTGAATGTAATAAGCCCCAGGGTTTTCTATCCGGGCTGCCCTTCCACTTTTGGTGGTAATCTGATTAATAATGTATTGAATGCAATGTTGTCCTTTTGGTGTTCTCTCTGGAGGTACTCACGCTTACTTTTCTTGTTATTTCTGATTTGCTCGATTCATGGGCAAGCAGGATTCTTCTTCGCCCTCTTCTTTTCCTCCGGGTTTGAATGCCACTTTGGAAGCACAGAAAAACGCTATTTTGTCCGCCGTTGATCACGCAAATTCAAGGCCTCGAAAGCAACTTGTTTAAAGCTCAGACTGACTGGCGTCGCAAATTAGCTTCGGAGGTTCAAACAGAAAACCACGTCTTCAAGAAGAAAGGTAATGAAAAACAGTCTACTTCAACCGGAAAGTAATCAGTGTCAGTACTGCTGCGGTAAAGCTTTGGAGAGTGGAAACTTTGGCAAAGCGAACGAAGAACTGAATGAAGGTATTTCGTTACTGACTAACAGACAGAAAATGATTAAATTGGCGGACAAATCTGAATTTCGTTTCCCCTCTGTTCAAGAATACGTTTGTGATGATTTGGCCGATGATGAAGCAGACGCCGCAAAAATGAAAAAAAGGCCGAGAAAAGAAGTGTAGCCGAGTCTAAATTTTTGCAAGACAAGAAGAGAAGGTCAAGCCTCAAATTTTCGACTTCTGCGCCTTCGATAATAATTCCAGGTTTAGAAGTCCATCGGGCTTTTTTCTTCTGCTGCTGGTTATCAGTTTACGTCCCCCAAGGTCGATATTCTGGAAACTTCTTGAGAGGCTCCGATTTGTGTTTGCGATGTGGAAAGAGAGCCCACTGGGCCAATTCCTGCCCCTTTAAAGATTAACTCTTGTCTTCAGGACCAAAATCTTGATTTGATCAGTGACAGTGCACTCCTGAGAATCATAGGATCCTCTTTTATCAAAGGAAAGTTGCGTGCTAACTTGTCTTTTGGGCGTGAGGCAGTAAGAGCTTCAGATTTTGTTTTGGATATTATTGAGAACGGCTACAAGATTCTTTTTCAGAAGTCGCCGTTACCGTATTCGATTGAGAACAGATCATCCGCCCTTCTTCATAGAGGTTTTGTTCGGGAGGCTCTTCCAGAGTTGCTGACGCGTGGCTGTATTAAACAGCTTTCGGTTTAGCCTCTTTTTTACAATCCTTTGGATGTGGCTGTGCCGCCGTCAGGAAAACTTAGACTGATCTTAGATTTTTTCTATTTTAACAGATTTATCATTAAGACGTGAAATACGAAGACTTAAGAACGTTTTTCAAATGTTTGTTTTTTTTATTTGATCTTTAGTCAGCGTATCCTTACATTGATATCTGCGAGGAACACAGGAATTCTTGTCCTTTTTATAGCTTTCTTCTGATGTAGTCACAAAATTTTACGAATTTTAGGTTTTACCTTTTCGGTTTGTGTTCTGCGCCATATGTCTCCACCGAAGTTCTTATGTCCGTTGGTTAAATTGTGGAGAGGTTGTGGCCATATTAGTTTAGTACACCCCGATGACACCGCGGGTATTCGGGGCGTTACGTGTTTAAATTGCCCCGAAAGCCTTAATAGTATTTTGTTCCCCAAGACATTGCTTCGTCCGGTTTCACACTTAACGATGATGTATCGGTTTAGGAGCCTATACAGAAGTCTGTTTTTCCTAAAAACCGTTTTGGATTTTGAGAAAGGTTTGACCTTAATTCCGGAAAGTCGTATCGTTAAGCTTAAATCATCCCTCGTTTCCTGTCTTCAGAAGGTCCAGTGATTAGTTGTGAACTCGTGGGATAGCCTGCGAGCAAGCTCTCCATTTAAGGGATTTCGTGAAAAGTAGACGCGCGAGAGGTACGCGAGAGGAGACGCGAACGCGGGGGGCTCGTCCCGTCTCGGCTTCGTCGCTCGCTCGCGTTCTCGTGCGGCTTGCTTCGCTCGCCCAAATAAAACAGCTTGCTCGCAGGCTACCCCTTGGAGGGTTATGTCACCTAAGTCCAGCGCCGGGGTCTATTGTGTGTTCTATTGTGTGTTTGGAAACGAAAACTTGAACTTCAGGATGATTGCTTTGAGAATCCAATTCGATTGTTAGGTACTTGTTTTTCTTTTATGCATTGTATTTTTAGCGGCCTTTTCTTTTTCTGTCTTTGCACTCTTGGGGCCGTGCGGCCTCCAGTGACCACGCGATAGCATATGCTGCGTGGTTGTTGTTGTCATGCACGGTTTTCGTGGTCTGTACGTAATTTCGAGGAGATTTGGACTAAGCACCATGCAAACGGATTTTTGAAGGTTCTTTAACACTACTCGCATATTTTGAATTCGCGACATCCTTACAGAAGATCAAAATTTGTTACTTCCGCAGTAATGAGATAGTGTTCCTTTAAGGGAACACAATTTCTAAGACTTCATTGGTCATTCTTTCCGCACAAGGGTAGAAACAGCCTGAGGTCAATTTGTTGTGGGACAGATATTTCGCGATTTTACTTGGTGTACCAGACACAAATGACGTAAAACACTCCTTAGTGTCCGGTACAGAAAGTAAATGCCATATTTCGCTCTTTCAACATCTCCATTTTCTTCAGTAACTGCCAGGTTTTTCGTCAACCTGTGTGAAGAGCCGCCCATACCGGTTCGACTGTAATTTTGTAGCTGAAAATAACGTTTGCAGCTGAATTAGGCAGAGCAATTGAAATATTGATCCTTGAATAAATGATCGAATTCTAAAGCCGAAACACTGAAGTGTTGTTGAAAAAAAAATTCTCTTGAAGTAAAAAAAAGAAAAAACAAAAGAAAAAAAAATTAACATTAGGTGGTTATTGCTCTATTGCTTGTCGTTTTCTTATCCAAAGCGATGGAACGCTTTTATGAGAAGGTTATATTTTTGCTTCATATTATCACTGGCCTTTATCAAAATTGACGCACTTTGATATTTTTACATGTTTATTACGTAGGACAGTCGCAGAAAAGAAAATTTAATCAAACTGTTTGTTTAGTAATGTTCTGAAGTAAATTTGCACTCGAAACTCGCGAATTTTGCTGAGTTATAACTTCGTACAATTACAAAAGCTCTTTAAAGCAAACTTTAATTTCTAAACTTATTTAAGGGTTTTTAGACCGTAGAGGTATCATTAGTTAACAGTTGTTAAACCAAAGAAGCGTGTTACAATTAATACAACCAATATACTTAGTTGTTGTACACGCCTTAATGACGTTTTCTTTTGTTTCTTAGAGATGCCGATTTGATAGCCAAGTGACAGACTATTCGCTAAATATGTGTAATATTCAATTTAAAAAGTATTTTCTGAAAATTTTGAAGAATCATATAAGAGAGAATCTATTATACCCAGCCTAAATTTGTTAGTGTTAGCCGGAGATAAAGAGATAAACTATGCCTTAAATAATCGTCAATCGGTCAAAGTTCAAACCATTAAACACGCAACGATATGTTAACTGACACTTTGTAACATGTAATGATTGATTGATTGGCTCCTGTCAGGATTGGTCTAATACAACAAAGAAGTCGCAGAGTTCTAAGATATATAACAGTTTACACGGCCAAAGGAGTGCACAATAAACCGCGATTCGTTCGAACAAGCTTGTACAGAACTCTACGGCTGGACCGTTTCAAATGGCAGCTGTCTTAGGACATTACAACTTCTGGAACATAACAAGCGAGCAGGCTTTACAAGAAACCTCGCTTCGTATGGAAAATGTCAAGCCTCTGTGGGCCGCTTGCTCTGTACTCTCGATCGTCATGGCACCCATAATAGTGCTTGGCAATTTGCTGGTCTTGTTAGCAGTTTGGAAAGATCCCCTTAAGAAACTTCGCTCATCACCATCCAACTTCATTCTGGTCTCCATGGCTCTCGCTGATCTGTCAGTCGGCTTGGTGGTTTGTCCACTCACCGCGTATTGGGCCTGGGTAAGATTTGACACAAAAACATCACCTTTTGGTCTTTCCGTTATTTTTGCCATCAACGTTTTCTGTGTGAATGTGAGCTTCGGCCACATGTTGCTGTTGGCAGTGGATAGGCTTTTTGCCGTGGTAACTCCGCTTGAGTATCGTTTGAAAATAACGAATAAACGAGTACTGGTCGCTTGTTGTGTTTGCTGGATGTACTTCTTGGCGTTCGGGTGTTCATTTCTAATGCTTGGGGACTATTTTGCCATAATGGTGACAATCTACAACGTACAGCTTTTATCCATTCTCTTGAGCATTCTTATAATGTATGCAGTTATCATGTTCCATTTTCATAGATATTCAAAAACGATAGGAACAGAACAGCTGCATTCAATAGACAGTCGTCTGATGATTCTCAAAAGAGAACGAAATCTCTTTAAAGCGATCACCATCGTCATCTGTGCATTTCTTATTTGCTACATGCCCTGGTTTATAGTTCAGCTGTTGAAATATTTGTGCAAACTATGCCACCCTCATTTGGCATTGCTTATAATATTGTTTAGATTTTCAACCAGTTTAACGCACGCAAACTCCTTCTTGAACCCGATACTTTATTCATGGCGGCTTCCAAAATTTAAAGAAACATTGAAGTACTTTTGGAAAAACCGAGATTTTGGAAGATGGCACTGACAATTCAAGTAAAAATTTTTTTAGGCTTTGTTATTTAAACCTCGCTGGGACTACGAAAATAAATATGAAAAGAAAAACCAAAAGGATGCTGCTCGCAGTAGTAAAATGACGCCATATTTGAACAACCTGTCTGTAGTTTCAATAGTGCTATCAATTGTTAAATCGAACTAACTAAACCGATTTCAGTCTTTATTGCAAGAAGTTTTTTCCGTATCTTAACGAATGTCCACATTAGACGCTAGCTTTCAATAGGGAGTTTAAGGAAATACATTTTTGAGCGACGAACGTCAACCGGAAGTGAACCTTTTTCTCTCTTAATATGCCTCGAGGCCACCAAATTTGTATTGCTAAGTTTTTTTTTAACTCTTATAGAGACGATTTGTCCAAAAGTGAGTTGAAAATCACGACTCAAGAGTTGAAAATGTCCACTTTCGGTTGACGTACGTCGCTCAAAAACGTCGCTGCTTAAACTGCCTATTTTGAAAGTAAGCACGTGACTCTTGGACTCTAAAACTAATCTAAATTACATAATCGGTCAATCCGTGCCTCATTTGTTCAGTTCTCATAGATATACGTGGGTGGAATGCTATATTTATTCTGTTTTCTTTGCCCCGACACCATTATTAATCTGAACTTTTCGTTTTTAAGTCATGCTTTAAGACACATGATTTAATACTAAACGACAGTAAAGGTCACATTTTACCTGTCCTTTTCCGCGTAATGATGCTGTAGATTCTGTTTGTATTAAACGTTAATAAAATATTCTGGATTTTGGATTTTGTTTCTTTAAATGTCTTTCAAATGAACAAGCCGTAAGTTGCTTTACTTACTCTTTGCCCGCTGAGATATGACTGCCAGAGAAAACACTATTCATGTAAAACAGATATTGAAGGGACAATGAAATGTGTCCAACTATTTTATCTTTACTAAGTGTTTTAGGCCATTCATTTACCACTTGAATGTTCGGAGTAACTTACATGTACTTTAGCAATCAGGTGATAATTGAAGCCGTTTTCTGTTGTCAGCTAAGACTTTTGGAAAGAGGAAACGAAATTTCCTCTTTCCAAAATAATTAGCTGACAATAGCTAAAAAAAAATTCGGTTTAATGACACGAGTTTTCGTGACACGAAGGCATGTGATCGTGTTTCCATCGTTTCAGTGGTTTCGTGTGGACTCGAATCACTGCTTGTGGATGCTTATAAACGGAGAAAAAGTCTCCTTTTTCAAAAATACCCGGATACGAGTCGACCAGGCCTAAGAAAACAAAGAGCGACGGCGGCGAAAACGTCCCCAAAATAGTGGCTTCGCGTTCAAACTTAAGCGCGATTATCCCAATCTCCTGGAGTTTAATTCCTAAGAAATATTTCCAAGTTCAAAAGGAGAAAGAGAAATTTATCGTCGTTTGTTTACATCCTCTATAAAACGTGAAATCAAGCCGTAGTTTTGCAGTGACTGCAAAGAATTGTACAAGAAATATTAAATCTTTTAATCTACAGAACGCCGCCTACAGTTCACTTCCACAGAATTGTACATTCGTTTTAAAGAGGGGAGGTTTTTAATCGAGACCATTTCTTTTTAAAAGTGTCTAAAGAATTATGGTCTTTTGCAATTTGCCTTTCTATTTCCACAGTGCGTTGAACTATTTGTGTGTACATTTGGACATTTGGGCGCTTATCTCTTTGTTTACAGATGTAGAAAATGTGCTGCATGTGCGAAGTCATTGTTTCCTAATCTAAGTCCAAGCGAACACGAATCCGGATAATTTTGACTAAACCGCGTATTTTAAACACGAATGGGCCGTCCCTCCACACGAAACCAGTGAATACGCTCACCAAAACCGCATGTTTTGGAAACGGCTCTCCTGAGTGGTTTAAGGCCCCGTCCACAGGAATCCGGGTAAGAAATATACAGTTTTAAAAACTTCAGGATTGACGAGGGCGCGGCCTAAACCTGCTGCGTTTTTGACGTTCTCTTCAAAAAAAAAAAAAAACTTCCTAAACTTGCTACAGCTCAGGAGCTTGAACAGACCAAATTTCAGTCTGAAAAGATTTGCGTGAAGACTTCTGACATTTCAGGCCAGCCGAAAACACAAACATGAGTTGTATGTGGTTGTTGATAATATTTGATCATAGCGGTTTGCTAGTCAGGAGGTACATTTCCCCTTTATTAGGGGACCTACAGTTGTCTGTTAGTGTATAACTAGTACCAAGTACTTATATAATAATTCAATAACATTCACTTGACATTATGCTTATAAAAATTTGAGGGAAAAAACAAGGCTAATTTAAAATTATTACAGGAAACTTATTATTTTCTTTGTTGGGCACTGACTAAGGCTAGGGAGCATTTATTCGAAAACAAAAGCGTTTATTGCTAATGTGAATAAACTGCAAAATTTGCCTTCCGAAGTTGACTTAATGCACCGAATAACACCTAACCTGAGGAAAGTTTGAGCCTTTAACAATGTTTCCTAGTTTCCTAACTTCCTTTTACCATTCCTGATGTATTCTGAAGATACCTGAGTGTAAAAATAGGAATCACGTGGATTATGTCAGTGTTGTTTTGGGGAGGAAGTCGTAATCTGGTGGTTTTCCAGGTCAGTGAAATCATTTGTCTCGCCTTTCCTTTGTCAGGTTTCCGAATCTTCCGAAATCCGACTCTAGAAAGTACCTTAAAGACTTAAAAGCCGTAACACTTCCTTTGGATTAAGTCAAGTCTAACTATCTTCACTGAGCTTTTTGGATGTTCAAACATCTCCAGTCCAAAAAAAAAAAAAAGATTGTTGAAATAAAGCCAAAAGAATATTAGAAGCAAGTGAACAATATATCCGAGGCATAAATAATTTATTGTTTGTTTGTTCCGTGTTAGGATGGAAATTCACTACACTCATTGTGTTTAGCTGAATCACTTGACAATAGAGAGATGGCCGGAGAGAGCTCGTTTCCTCAACCTGAGCCGAAAGGTAAAACGAAAAGGAAAGCGTAACATAACATAAAAACTTGATCAGAATTGGACAAAAAGCAATGGTTTGAGTTTAAATAACTTTAATTCACACATCAAGTGTTATGAAGACCGGGTCAATACAAATAATCGTTGTTCAATCAAAATGCAGATTATTCAATTGACATCATGTAAAAAAGCTGAATAGCACTAGAAAATGTAATAGTTGTTCAGTAAAGAGTGTAAAGAGCAGGCTGGGATCACGTCACGAGAGGATTGTGGTGAAGACGGAAAACAACAACTCCTGTCCATTTGCTTGTAATGGCGGCCGTCGTTGGTCATTACAGTTTCTGGAACATAACGAGCGAGAAAGCTTTACAAGATGCATGGTTGACTCTTGAGAATGTCAAGCCTCTGTCAGCTACCAGTTCTGTTCTCTCGATTGTCATGGCGCCTATGATAGTGCTTGGCAATGTGCTTGTTTTGTTAGCAGTTTGGAAAGATCCGCTTAAGAAACTTCGATCATCACCATCAAACTTCATTCTGGTCTCCATGGCCATCGCTGATCTGTCAGTCGGCTTGGTGGTTTGTCCACTCACGGCATATTGGGGCTGGGTAATATTTGACAAAGGAACATCGCCTTTTGATCTCTCTGTTATCTTCGCAATCAACGTGTTTTCGGTGAATGTCAGCTTTGGCCACATGTTCCTGTTGACAGTAGATAGACTTTTGGCCGTGATCAAACCGCTCCATTATCGTGTTATTATTACAAATAAACGAGCAGTCACTGCAAGTTGTGTTTGCTGGATCGATTTTTTGGCGTTTGGGTGTTCATTTCTGATGCTGAGGGATTATTTTGCCATAATGGGAGCTGTGTACAACGTCCAACTTCTTTCCATCCTTTTAAGCATGCTCATAATGTACACTGTGATCATGATTCGATTTCACAGATATTCAAAAACAAGGATGAATGAGTCAATTCATCCCCCAAACAGTCTTCTCGTCATCCTCAAGAGAGAAAGAAGTCTCTTCAAAGCAATCAGTATCGTCATCTGTGCATTTCTTATTTGTTATATGCCCTGGTTTATTGTTCAGATTTTGATATATTTGTGTAAACCATGTCACCCTAATTTGGCTTTGCTCATGATTTTCTTTGGATTTTCGGGCAGTTTAATGTACGCAAACTCGGGCTTGAATCCAATTCTATATTCATGGCGGCTTCCGAAATACAGAGAAACATTCAAGTACCTTTGGAAGAATAGAGCCTCAAGGGTAACAGTTCCAAAAAATAAGAACAGCAGTGAAGAAGTTTATAATACAAAGCTCTAATAAAAACAAACGGTCCTGATAAGTCACTTTAGAGGTTTGGGTAGTCATGCAATAGAAAATCAGTTGTTGCGACCTTGTCAATGCAGTTTTAGAAGGAGTGAACTAGCCACCAGGGAGGGAGTGGCTTAACATATTTTTGTTACAGGATTTAAACTACTGACGAGAGTAAAACTTAAGTACTCTGTTTTGGAACCGTGTTTAGTTTAATAGACAAGATTCACGCTCTGTTGTTTCTTTACGGAAAATTGAGTCCTTGTATGGCCAACCTCGCATAGAGTAGTAAACTCTGTTCAGGTGCTCGTTTCTCGAAAGTCACCGTGTTTGCGTTCTAGATCAAAGTTTCAATGATTTTGAAAATAATACAATGAAACTATCAGTTAACGAAGCAGCATTGCCTGGTTTGAGAACTGCCATTCAACAGGTTTTAATTGCAAAATTTGTCTTTGGACCCAGATAGTTACGGGCTTTTCGAGAAACGGGCTCCAGGAAGAAGATCTGGGGGGTGTTGAATTGAGAGAAATTGTCCTAGGCGCTAGTATTGTCATCACAAGTGCTTTACATTACTTAAGATATTTTACATGAATAATCAATCGAAACAAGATAAAAAGCTGAAGTCGATATTATTTTAGCGAAAGGTGTCTCAAGACATATAAGACAAGATAAAACGAGAATACTTAAGTTAAACCATTAGAAATGCTGTATAAGTTGACACTAGTTATATGTTAGTCGTAACTATAACAATACATGTTACAGGTCCGTTTGTTTTTATTAGAGCTTGGATTGGCTATCTATCGGCTGGGCATAGTGTAACAAGAAACTACTTGTCATACCCAAGTAATTGGTCAATACGCCCCATCGCGCTTAATAGTTGCACTGGGTTCTTTATTCAACGTCTAGCAAATAAACTCACCGCGGAGATCCATGTGTTTAAATTGAACAGGAGTTGAAATTATCGTTAACTATTATCTCAAATTTTGTTTTAGTTATGATTAATTGGTAACAGAACTTCTTGTCGTCCATTCTGTCTTTAATTATAATCGTCATTAACCAGATTGGACTCCCGCTGCGCGGTTGTACGATTTTGTTTTTAAATCACTTTTCTCGTTACGTACAAAGCTGTACTCCGCTCAGTCCTATTACCATAATATAAAGGGGAAGGCTTAAATAAAATGCTGTTGTTGTATAGTGATAGCGAAAAAATACAGATGAGGGACAGAGACAAAACTAGGAAAATTTTTTTTGTTAGATGTTTTTATAGATTTGCGGCTCATCAATGCGGATAGTATGTCTATGCGTCCCTCTATTAACATATGCAAGTAAAAAAACAGTTTTCAAATTTAAACATTTGTGGTCTAACTCTGTCCATGACGAGAACGAAGTTTTGTAAAAGGGAATATTCGATTGTTTAGGAACAAGGCAGGCCAACTCTTTTAAACTTTAATGAGATGTACGAGGTTAGGGAAAGGGGTATGAACAACACGTGCAACAAATTATTTTGTTCGTGGTTACATCCGAAGTGCAAAGGCAATTACGGGCTGCGGGTTTGTTGCCTGTTAACGTGAGCGCGTTGTACGTGTTTAGATGTCCATGGAATAATTCCCGTATCATCATAAGTTTACAACGAAAGTTTTTTTTTTCCGGTAAGATCAACGACACTTGAAGAAAAGGGCGATCTACGGTTTGTCTATATTCAAACAAAGTAACAATATTAGAGAGATTTATGCTTACGGCAAACGGCAAACGTCAGATTCAAATTTAGAAAATGTGAAACTTGTAATGAACAGTAAAAGACAGGTAAAGGGCAAACTTGGTCACGTGGTACAAATTCATGTTTGCTATTTGCCGTAACCGTGGTTCTCTCTATCGTTACCTTTAGCCCGCTGCTAAAATTTCTAACAGAACCAGAGCCCTTTACCAAGGAGAACGTGCATTTCTTAAGAGAACCGAAAGAGGAGACGAAGAAGGGAAAAAGGAAGCAGATCGTTATACACATTTTCTACAAGAATATTTCGAATACCCGTTACCTTTCTATGCAAGATTAACACAGAATACTTAAAGAAAAGTTTGTTTTCATTTAAATTAATGTTATTAGAGCAAAACAATGATCAAAGGTTCGTCAATATTCAAACAGTGTACTCAATTTGTTTGATATTGCTGCTGATAAATGTTTAAATGAGTTATCAGATACTAATATTGGCCTGGTTATCAACCAATCCTGTCTTGTTGTCTACTGACCCATCAATTAAGACACACCATGCGAACACATGCAAAAGCTGCTTTCCTTCAGATCACGGACTCATGTAATGCACATTTTATTCGCATAACATAGTTAAGATGACTTTTAAAGTATTAGTGAGCACGTTAAGTTTTAATTATATATTATTGATATTCCACTATTAAGAATATTGACTTGATTATCAAACCACCTTAACCGATAGGCGCCGTGTTAACGCCTATGTAAGTTTCTCGTCTCAAAGCAGCTTTAGCTTGTTATATTGAGAATTACACAAGGAGGCGACGCTCGAATTTTGACTTAAAGTTTATAGATTTCCGCTATCATGTCAATGCAAGAGAGGATAAAGCGTTGTTCAAAGTATACTAGTATGTTTTATTTTTGTGTTATTATTGCAGGATATTTTGGTCTTTTAAGACCATAAAAGGTGGCTCCGTCATTAAAACTGGGGCATTGAGCTATGACGAACTTTTCGTCATAAATTTTTTGTTTTTTTACAGCTGAATTTTCAACGACTTTCGAGTTACGTACTTCTGCTCCAACAATTTCTGTGAAATTTATCTGGCATATTTATTATATCAATAAAAGCCGATACCAGAAATTTCAACCACAAATACCAGCAAAAGTTTCTAGTAAACGCGAGTTTCTTTGGATAGGAGGGTCCTTTTAAGCAATAGTTTCGCAAAAAATATTTATTAACTTGTGTGGAAGCTGATCCACAACCACCTTAAATAGCTTGGATGCATAGATGATGAATAGGGTCCCAGACATGGCCGTTGTGGAACATCACAGTCGAAAACTAGAGGGCTGTGAGAGGGCTCCGTTGTTGGAGACCCCCTGACCTTTGTTGGCCAAGGATGACTTGAACCATTCCGAGGCAGCTCCACATACCCCAAACTCCTCTTTCAGACGTGCCAGCAGGATGTTGTGATTGACTGTATCAAAAGTGGCGCTGAGGTCAAGCATGTCCAACAAAGTCACCTCTTGAGCGTTCATTTTCATGAAAGTATCATTCGTGATTTTGGCAAGAGCCGTTTCCGCGCTATGATTTTAACGATATGATGACTGAAACTTGGGATATTTAACACTTATTCTATGAAATCGGGCTACCCGTAAATATTCCTAAAGCCACTATTCAGCGAGATTGAAAAGAATAATTGTTTTAGTATATACACACGAAGTGATGTCATCATAATCAGAGAGGAAACCATTCAGAAAAGTACCATTTAATTGACAGATCAAATCACGCAAAAGTTTTAAAAATAGATCTTTGCAGAATTTTCAAACATGGCAATTCGACAAGGTTATCACTTCGCAAACAACAGCGTAGTGGCTAAATGAAACCGTTAAAAGTTTGAATTCTTCCTTACCTGTGAAGAAAAGTGGAGCTTTGTTGTTTTCTCTTGACTCGCCCAGTTTATAGCCAAAAAGATTTGTTGTGTCGTTCTTCGCATGAGGTGCTGACAAAAATGGCGGCTCGGTTGCTCGAGGTAAGACGTCGTCTTCTTGTCGCATTCTTTTTCCTTTTTCTTGAAACGTAGGATTTCTGCAAACAATTGCTTTCAAATTTGTTTGTCATAAGTAAAATTCGATTTTTGTGCCAAATTTTTCTTGTTAGAAAACGCTGAGTTCACGAAACAGCCTCTTCTACGCGAATACGTGTTCCGGCGGTAGGAAGGCTCAGTTGATCACACAAAGTACGGAGATCTTTTACAAACAAACAGACTATCCAGGTCGAGGTCAGCTGGGATGTTGACCGGTTCGCCAGCCGCGACACGTCGTGTTCGCCATTAAGGTGGCATTAGAACATATAACTGAAGCTGTTAGAGCTTTTCCGCAAAATAAAAACAACGGGATCTCCAAGGCGAAAGGCAAGAACTAATCCGCAACGCCACAACAGAATTGAAAAGAAAAGTATGCCCGCCACATCAAAATTTGAAAAGAAAACTTCAAGACATTGTGCTTGGCCGAGAAGGAAAACATAGTGATGAAGCACGTGGGAATGCAAGTTATTGAACATTGCAGAGCAACATGTGATTGGTCAAATAAACAATTAAGAGTTCGTAAGTTCAGCTCAGGAGGTTGCACGTAAAATCACTGACATAGGACAAAGCTCAAACAAGAGTTGTCGATTATATAACTAACATTTATCTCCGGTGATAAAAAAATTATGATTTATCCACTCCCTAGGAGGTGAATATTGTTAAATAGTCCGAGATAGCGAACCAATCAGATTGCTTAAATCACCAAGATCACTGAGTGTGTATATACTAAAGTAAATGGTTTATCATATCGTTGTGTATTTGTTCAAACACCGCCTCCTCAGTCAGCTTAAAGATATATTGCAAGTTACTGACAGGTCCTTAGTATTTCTAGCCAAAGTCAATAGTGGAAGGACGAGCGCACACTTCCAGTCATAAGCGAACCCAGACTCTAGTGATAAATTAATCATTTTCATTATGATCGGTAAAAGCACGTCAATACAATCCCTCAGTAGGGATGTCGGCACAGGGTCCAAAGTGCAAGTTTGCGAGCCTCCTCCTCTGAAAGGAGGTTGAATTTACTGAGGCGGGGAGGTGATAATGGGGTGTGGTCATCAGAAAGGGGTGGTAGCCCCTGTGCCATGTTATCTGAGCTTAGAACCAATGGTCCCGATTTTCTGAACGAAGAAAGTTCCCATTTGATTCGCCAGTTCAAGGTTATCATCCACAGCAGGTTGAAGCCTAAAAGCGGAGCTGCTGTTAATACACTTATTAGTTGGTGAAAACAATTCAACTTATACTTTTGCAAGGAAAATCACAAATCTATAATTGACTTAAGGGTCCGTAATATACCTTTTGAGGGGGAGGCTGGGCGATTAAAAAAACCCTGCAATCCGACCTTAACCTTATGTCCACATCAAAAAGTTAGGAATCACTTTCGATCACAGTAGTAGGCTTGGAGAAACGTCTGGCTCAAAATAGCCAAAATCGCTTAGTTTAAAAGTCACGAAAAAAGCTCAGTTTCTCTGTTTAGAAAAACGACGACTTCTTAGACTCTGGCAACTGACTGCTTAATGAAACGCTTAGTTCTCGTTTGATTGAAGCTGTGTTTTTTAAAGGCGTTTAGAGTTTGGACAGATCACCTGGATTAATAATCATTTAATGGTCGGAGTTGAAGGGATTGCTACGCAAGACAAACAACGGCTGCGAGGGAGACTACCATTCCATGAGAATTTTATTCTTTTCGAGGTAAACGTGTGTTTCATGGCTTCTAAATCCCTACATGGGATTATAATGGTTTGTTTACTAGGACTTTCTTGTATATTGTTCTAATCCCATGCAGGGATTCAGAAGCCATGAAACACACGTTTACCTCGAAAAGAATAAAAGTCTCATGGAATAGCCGTCATATGATTCCGCTCACATGCTAAAGTGGCCAAGTTGCCAAGTTGCCAGCGTGGTTGCATCGGTGGTGTAGTGGTTATCGCGCCCGAGTGCTAACCGGGGAGACGTTGGTTCGATTCCGGCTCGAGACGACATGTTTTTCTTTTCAGATGAGATGTGTGTCGAAAGTGGTCTTACTCCGTATTTTGGACGTTTTGTGGTTAAAGTTTGTCTTATTTTTACTATACTAGGACTATCCTGGCTTCGAAATAGAGAGATGTGTAATGTTTTTTTTAGTGTCCCCAATTAACAGCAAAGTACTAAGACACTCAAATTAAGCTTAAAATTCATTCATTCATTGGGTTCGACTGATTCGCTGGGCTATGAGGGAGCCTCGCCGCATTTGGCCTCTGGTCGAAACCCAGCGAGGGCAATAGTTGCCATTGGAAGTAAACTTTGTGACTCGTTCAGAGCAGGACAAAGAACATATGTCTGGATTCCCAATCTCTCCTCAGCTCAGTACTTTGCAATTGTCCTCGTTCTAGTCCACGGCACAAGCTGGTCCTTATCCAATTCTGTTTCTTTTATTTACCTTATGCCGCAGATGTTTGTATTGGCTAGCTATTTGTTTGTTAGACAAGTTGCTTAAACAGCAGCAGCTCAGGAATTTTCCAGCTTCCATTTTTTTTAAGGGGCGGCACTAAATTTGTTCGTCAAACCCACATAAATAGTCAATTTCAGCTTAATGTGCTCTAATGTAAGTTTTCACAGCAATTCCCTTCTGTCTTTTGTGTGTATTACTTGTGAAAGACGATCGAATTGGTGAGTTACACTTGAATTAACACCCCAAACTTACATAAAAGACAACGAACCGTAACGTTAAAAAATGCAACGTAATATGATTCATTCTATATTCGACATGCACTGATAATTAATTCCAAGTGACCTCAGCAGACGTATGACAAAGCAAAAAAAAGAAAGAAAGAAAGAAAAAAAAAACCCGGAAAAATGGTGATTTTGACCGAATTCGTTCATGCATTTGCTATTATCTTTGTAACCGTAACTTGAGGAAACTACAACATTACCATCATTTTCTATATTATATACACTATATCTACGAAGCGAAGGTATCAGCAATTAGACAAAGCATCATAAAGACGATTATGTCATATCAACTACAAGTTCATGGGCTTTAAAGGACGTTTAATAGGACTAGATCAATTTGATCACTACCATTGGTTCCATTTTTGCATCTGTTGCTAAGTTGAGGTTTGCTAAATCGATGTCTTGAAGCAATCCATTTTCTTTAATACCCTAACAAATCTTCTTCATTTGCACAGTAACGTCAACTTAGTCTATTTGAAGGTGAAAACTGGACTCTTGGACTCTGAAACTAATTTGAATTATATACCCGATCAATAAATGCTTTATTCTTTCTAGTTCTAAAAGATTGCGTGGGTGGAATTATCTACCAGGTAAATATGGACTAATTAATCTAAACTGTCAGTTTTCTTGTCAGTTACCTGTCTTGGTCGGTGTCCAGTAAAGGTTGTTTTTGTAGTAAATTTAATGCAAAATTTGAGGACTTTGGATACGGTGACATTTGCGTTTTTGTTAAGGCATTTGATCGGAACCAGCCAAAATTTCCACCAATGAATTGACGATTTTCTGCTCTAGAGTAGTAAGTTGGTTTTCCGTTTTGTCCACTGGCAGGAATATGCCTCCTCGAGAAGTCATTCTTAAAGTTTCAACAAAAACATTACACATATAGTAAAAAATGTCATATCATTTTATCTTTTATTGGTGTGTGAGGGAATTCATCAATCAAAAAAGTGTATGACCGCGACATAAATTATCCGTTTTCCTGTTACAACAGTTTTTGAAGTTTCTTCGAGATAACGCTGTGTTTCCGATAAAGGTAGTGCACATGTAGGATGCGTTATCGGAGTCTGTAACAGTGTTTCGTAGTTTGGCCATGTCCGTTTAAATATTGCTCATATTCTTTTCTCACGTTAGCTACTTGAGTGTAATAAAAGGAATCACGCGGATCATGTCAGTGTTCTTTGAAAACGGAAGTCATTAAATGGTGGTTTTTCACTTCAGTGAAAATTATTTGTTTCTCATTTCCTATGTGCAACTCTTGTAATTTTAAATCACTCTCACGAAAATACTTGGAGGATTCAAAAATATTTACACATAAACAATTACCTACTAAAAATTTCCCAAAGAGGTGACTCGGCTTATGTGTAACTATTAACACTTAGCAAATATCCCCAGCTGACAGCTTTGAGATAAATAGAAACGAATGCTTGAAGCAAATGAGTAATGTATCTGGAGCATTACTAGTTATAATGTATTGCTTGTTTTCGTGTTAGAATGCAATTCACCAAGACCCAAGAAAAAAGGAAAAGCAATACAAAAACGACAACAACAACACAAAAATGAAAAAACTGGACAGAGAGCAATGCTTTGCGTATGAACATACAAGTCAAATCCAAGGCTAAGAGGGAACCATCAACATGATCAATATAAATAATCTTTCTTAAATCAAAATGCAGATCATACAATTGACATCATGCATTATCACTTTTAAAAAAGCTGAATATCACTGAAAAAAGTAACATTTGCGCAGTAGAGAGTGTACAGAGCAGGCTAAGTTCACGTCACGAGGGGAGAGTGGTGAAGACGTAAGACAGATTATGTGATGGCGGCCGTCGTTGGTCATTTCAACCTCTGGAACATTACAAGCGAGCAGGCTTTACAAGATGCATGGCTGCGCCTAGAAAATGTAAAACCTCTCTCAGCTACCAGTTCTGTTCTCTCGATAGTCATGGCGCCTATAATAATGCTTGGCAATGTTCTTGTCTTGTTAGCAGTTTGGAAAGATCCGCTTAAGAAACTTCGATCATCACCATCAAACGTCATTCTGGTGTCTATGGCTCTCGCTGATCTGTCCGTCGGCTTGGTGGTTTGTCCACTCACGGCATATTGGGGCTGGGTAATATTTGACAAAGGAACATCGCCTTTTGATCTCTCAGTTATCTTCGCAATCAACGCGTTTTCTGTGAATGTCAGCTTTGGCCACATGTTCCTGTTGACAGTAGATAGACTTTTGGCCGTGGTCAAACCGCTCCAGTATCGTGTTATAATTACAAATAAACGAGCAGTCATTGCAAGTTGTGTTTGCTGGATCTATTTTTTAGCATTCGGATGTTCATTTCTGATACTGAGGGATTACTTGGCCTTAATGGCAGCTGTCGACACCGTGCAACTTCTTTCCATCCTTTTAAGCATGCTCATTATGTACACTGTGATCATGTTTCGTTTCCACAGATATTCCAAATCAAGGATAAATGAACCTATTTATTCCCAAAACAATCTTACCTTCATTCTAAAGAGAGAAAGAAGGCTCTTCAAAGCAATCACCATCGTCATCTGTGCATTTCTTATTTGCTACATGCCCGCGTTTATAGTTCAGATGTTGATATATTTATGCAAACCATGCCACCCTCATTTGGCCTTGCTTATGATATTCTTTGGATTTTCAACCTGTTTAACGTACGCAAACTCGGGCTTAAATCCAATTCTATATTCATGGCGGCTTCCAAAATACAGAGAAACATTTAAGTACCTTTTGAAGAATAGAGCTTCAAGGTGCACTGGTCAAAACACTTAGAACAGCAGAGAAGTTTATAATTCAAACCTCCAATGAAGACAGAAGGTTTTGATGAAGTCACTTTGGAGGTTTCCGTGGTCACACCACCATAGTCATTAAAGTGGAATGGTGTTCCAGGACTGGCCAAATCTAGCCGATATTTTCTTCCGTATGGTTGAAAATGATCTTTTCGTAAGGATCATTTACTTCAACATGAAAGTGGTTAATTATTAGTCGACTAATTTTAACTGGATTTGCTTTATTTTTGTGGCGTCAGTTGATCTGAACATGTTATTGAGTTGACGGAGAGTTTCGTATGACTTGCTAGGTATTATTCTTTTTATCTTCTTTAGGAATTTACCGAGGGGGCTAATATCGTCAGTACAGCTGGTATATATTACTTTAATACGACATTTTACATTTTGTAATATTTTACATAAATTGCATCAACGTTAGCTTTGAATTAATAATTAGTAAGTAGTAATTAATAATTAAAGAAAATGTAATCGGTCTTGAAAACAGAATAAAAAGCTAAAGTTGATGCTATTTTTGTCACAAATCGCTCAAGGTATATAAGACAAAATCGAGATGATATGATACTTAATTTGAATTAACCCTTAGAAACTATGTATAGGTTTACAACATTTATATATGAATCATAACTACATGTAAACAAATTCTCTAATCTGATTTGGCATCGGCACCCCTGATTACAGCATTAATCATTCCTATAAACAAAATTCTCTAATCTGAATGGTTCTCAACAGCCCTTTTTATTTGGTAATTTGGCTGATACAGCACCAGAGCTGTCCTTATTTGACCTGTCCGATTAGAGGCTGCCTGTAATCGAACAGGTCAAATCTGACATTTAAACAGCCAATAAAAATCGGGCATCAAATGTTGCTAACCAATAAGGTTTAGCAAACCACAACCAAGAAAAAAACTTCCCTAAGCAAGTTTTCCAGCTTCAGTTTGACACATTTGTTACAAAAATTAATTCAAAAGAGTTCATACAGTTGTACCTCCATATTCTGGTAGCTTCTCTTAAAGTCGTAAGCCATGCGTTTTTGTTTTAAAAGCTGTAAGCTGATGTAATAAGAACTTTGTAAGATAATAAATATTCCAATCCTGAGATTCTTGCTTTTTGGTATTGACACGAATCGTGCTCGACCGATTGAAATTAATCGCCCAATTACTCCCTGAATTGTACCCCACTCAGTCCTATTACCATTACCAATCATACCTATAACAAACGTGTTTAATCTGATTGGCTATCAGCAGCTCTGATCTCAGCTTTAATACTGAGTAAGAGAGAGGACAGTGTCGTTTGGAAACTGAGCATTCTTTTGAACTTTTTCTTTCCATTTGTGTCTTTTATTGGCGTATTTTCAATCTTGAAATGCAAAACTTTAGTCTTGAAAACCACCACATGATGAACGCGCGATGATGGATGACATTTACTAAGGTGTCAAATCCGTTTCTTCCCCAAACCCCTAAATGGTTGACATGACAATCGGACGTTTGTGGGGGAGGGGGGGTATGGGTGAATTAGTTGAGGTGATAATTTTTTTCCCACACCTTTAGAGTTAGAAATTTTTTTCCCCCACATAACGGTGTAAGACTTTTTTTCAGCATTATAGGTCATGAGTAATATTTTTTCAGTGCAGGATATTGTTTTTTCCCAGGAATTTCTTTGCATGCTTTTTTCCTCTCGAAATCAGTCTGCAGGATTTTTTTTTCCGAAATCACCCATAAACCCCTCAAAAGTCAAATAGTCGGCCCCTAAAATCCACAATCATTTGCTCAGTTGACAGATTCTGATTTGTCAATCATTTCTAAAGCCTTTTGAAACAATAGGGAACAAAACTCTCTAGGGGAGAGGGGAGGAATTCGTTTCTACTTTCCACTACCCGGAGAGTCCGTACGAACAGACGTACGCTGACGTCATAACCAAAATTTCTCGAATGGATAGTTTCAATTACCAAATTTTCTTACCCATGCGCACACCGCCTGATGCTCGGCTATTAAAAGAGTGCCTGGGTGGAACAATGAACAATCTTCGAGGTAAATATCGACTCTGTTTTGTAGCCTCGACCATGTAATTAATCTAAACTGTCCGTTCCGCGCATTACTTTACACAATACTAACGACCATTCAAGCAATAATTTACTCATCAGTTACGCGTGTCTTTAGGTCCGTGTGAAATATTCTCTATGTATTGAATTTGAGGCAAACTGTGAAAAATTTGAATAAAGAGACATTTGCGTTTTTGATAAAGGCATTTAAAATGGACCAGCGAAAATTTGCGCTAATAAATTGATGCAATAAGTTGGTTTTCCTTTTTTTCCTCTGCAGGGATATGCCGCTAGAGAAAGCATTTTAAATGTTTTAACAAAAACATTACACAAAAAGTAAAAAATGTTAAAATGTTAAAAAAGAGCGACAAGTTCATATTTCATCAGCGATGTAAAAGAAACAAAGAAAAACCTCTCTGAATGGGGACGAGGGCAGGACTTTCCAGCTATTTTTAATCCTTTCCAAGAAATATGTAACAACCTTTCTGTTACGTAACTTGATATTTTACATCGGTGATGAAGTTCGAGCGATTTGAACAAAATATTCGATTTTCTTTAAATTGTTTCTTTGAGGTTTGAAATTTGTATCCTAAATGTCTTGGCCAGAGAAGCAAAAAAACTTTTTATTTGGTAACATTTCGTCTTTTGTTGGTGTTTTAGGCGGCTCATTTATATTTTTCACTGGGTTATAGTTTAAGCAAAGAGTTATGTAACCGCAAAACAAATTATTCCTTTTCCTGTTTTAATTATTTTTTTAGTTCTTTCTAGATTGTGTCGGTGTTTCAGGTAATAGTGGGAGACACGGCAGGATGCATAACCAGTGGATAAACATTTTCTCAACCTAGGTACCAAATATATCAGAAAACAGAGACTTAAAGCTCAATCTACCACCTAAAAATTGTCTGTGTGATAAACAGGAGCGAACATTGGTCGTGTAATTAACAGTTATAATAAAAAATATGAACTCAATAAAAAGACAATATGGAGGAAAACGCTGAGGGAAAGCCCTACCGAGGCGGTAAAGATAAGCCTAACAAGCAATGTTTGGCGAGAAGACACAACGGACTAGCCGAAAATACACAAAGCGTAGCTATATCTGGTTGTTGATGAACACAATTTCATAACAGATAACAGATAAGGAAAATGGTATGCTGGTCAAGAAGTGAAATTTCCATCGGGGGTAAACTACAACTGTCAGCTAATTTTGCTTCCACTTATAGCAATACATTGAGTGACAAGGCATGGCTAATTCAAAGACTTTCCAAGAAAATTATTCTTGTCACGGCCTGGCAAAGCTAAAGCATTTTTCGAAAAAACAATTTCTATTACTAATATGACTTACCGCAAAATTTGCTGTCTGAAGTCGACTTAATTCACTCCATAACGCCTACACTTCTTGATTCTCCGTGTTAGAATGGCAATTCTCTATGTACCTATCACGTGTTGCCGCAACCTGAGCCCCGAGGGGACAGTAAAAGCAAAACAAAACACCGACACGAAAATGAAAATAATTGAACAGAAAACAATGCTTTGTGTTTAGTCAGATCCAATACCGGAGGGTATTATGAAGACGTTCAATATAAATAATGTTCTTTTTATGCAAATGCAGATCAACTAATTGACATCATGCGATGTCACTTAAAAGCTGAAAATTACAAGAAAAAGTTACAGTTGCATAGTAGAGAGTGTACTGAGCAGGCTGAGATCACGTCAAGAGAGGAGTGTGCTGAAGATATAAAACAGCAACTCCTGACCACTTGTAATGGCCGCCATCGTTGGTCATTACAACTTTTGGAACTTAACAAGTGAGAAAGCTTTGCGAGATGCTTGGCTGCATCTTGAAAATGTAAATTCTCTGTCGCTTACCAGTTTTGTTCTGTCGATAGTCATGGCGCCCATAATAGTGCTTGGCAATGCGCTGGTCTTGATAGCAGTTTGGAAAGATCCGCTTGAAAAACTTCGATCATCACCATCTAATTTTATTCTGGTGTCCATGGCTGTCGCTGATCTGTCAGTTGGGCTAATTGTTTGTCCAATCACGGCGTATTGGGGCTGGGTAATATTTGACAAAGGAACGTCCGTCTTTGAACTCTCCGTTATTTTCGCAATCAATGTGTTTTCTGTGAATGTCAGCTTTGGCCACATGTTCCTATTAACAGTGGATAGACTTTTGGCCGTGGTCAAACCGCTTCAGTATCGTGTTATAATAACAAATAAACGGGCAGTCATTACAAGTTGTATTTGCTGGATCTATTTTTTGGCCTTTGGATGTTCGTTTCTGATGCTGAGGGATTATTTTGCCATAATGGGAGCGGTGGACAATGTGCACCTTCTCTCTATCCTTGTGAGCATGCTTATTATGTACTCTGTGATCATGATTCGTTTTCACAGATATTCAAAGACAAGATTAAATGAGCCAATTCATTCCCGAAACAGTCTACTCCTCATCGTCAAGAGAGAAAGAAATCTCTTTAAAGCAATTACCATAGTCATCTGTGCATTTCTTATTTGCTACTTGCCTTCGTTTATAGGGCTGACTTTGATATATTTATGCAAACCATGCCACTCTCATTTGGCTTCGCTTATGACCTTCTTTGGATTTTCGACCTGTTTAACGCACTTAAACTCGGGCTTGAATCCGATTCCCTATTCGTGGCGGCTTCCAAAATACAGAGAAACATTCCAGTATTTTTGGAAAAAGAAAGCTTGGATATTGACTGGTCAGAAAAATAAGAACAGCAGTGAAAACGTTTATAATACAAAACTTTAGTAACAACAGAAGTTCCTGTTACCTTGGAGATATAAGTGGTCACACAACTGAACACCAGTTGCGACCTTTTCTATTCACTTTCACTTTCACTCCTTCCTCGGAAGGAGTATTCTAGCCACCGGGGAGAAAGTGGCTTGACATAGTTTGGTTAGAGAATTTAAAATCATGACACTTTTGAGGACATGAAGGGGACAAGGCTTCTTCAGTGTGCCACTCTTAACTGTTTAACTCACTACCTTAGATTTGTCGAAGTCGCCATCTTTATCTATTTTTAAGAAAGGACTGAAACATATCTTTTTCGCAATTTTTATAGAGTACATGTAGCTTAAAATACCTGTGCATGTATAAATAATCATTATCTATAAATTTTAGCAGCAAAATGAGTTCTTTTCCATTTCTTTGTGAATGGTAAATAGACTTTAATAAATTTTATTTCATGCTCGAAATATGAAAATCATTTCTTTTTTTCTCCTTTTTGCGGTGTAAAGCTCCATGAGCATAGGATATCAACGCTTTAGAAACAAAGCTATTATTATCATTAATAATTATTAGCATTATTATTGTTATTATTATTATCATCATTTTAATTTTTAGTTTCGTTTTCATTTTCATTATCATCATCATTATCATTATCGTTATCATCATCATTATAATTACCATTATCATTATTATCGTTATCATCATCATCATCATCATCATCATCATCGTCATCGTCATCATCATCATCATCATCATCATTATTATTATAAGTGGTATTATTATTAACTACCCTGTACAGAACAAAAACCTCTGTTGTAGAACCCTCTTTGAATTAATGGGCAAGGTTCATGCTTTGTTGTTTCATTACAGATAATTAAGACCATGCATAACAAACCTTAGCAGAGAATTGTTTACTCTTTTCGGGACAGAGGAGCGTGGAGGTATTGAATTGACGTAGAGTTTTCTTAGACTTATAGGGCCAGTTATTAAAACGGAGTTTAGCACGTTTTTAACGTTTTGAACTTGTTGCTTGCAAAACGAGAAAACTGACTGTATCTTCAATCTCGATAAAACCTCATTAGACTCTGTCGCTGTGATATAAGACCTTTTTAGCTTGTACGTTCAAACTACGTGATGATACCCCAGGGAACTGTGTCTTTCAAACATCATCCTATACGCGTGCATCCACCTGCATATGTATGCATAATTTATGAAAAGAGAAAGGCAAATTCCCAGGAGAACATTCCGTGGTCTGAATTAGGAAAACAAAACGTACAAGCTAAAAAGTTAAGACAGACGGATATATATAGTTAAGTGGTGTGTATCCACGTAATAAAAACTTCAAGGGACTATGCCACTCAGTGAGCTTGCGCACCGAGGTTAGTTCAGTTGCAAAATAGAGTGTTTTCACTCACTTGGCCAGCATCCATACAAATTTATTGGGACAAATGAAAGTATTAACATGAGAAAAGAGTTTGACTTCCACAGAGTTGGCTTTGCACATCAAAGCGGCCATTTCATTGTTTTGGAACCTCAAAATGGCCGCTGTTACTTCATGTGAAAACTCCCTTTATCTGTTAAAATACACAGCTGAACTCTTGAGAATATTTGCCCTCAGTTATATTGAAGCATCAAAGACACAATATCTTATACCATGCAAACAAAAAAACAAACAAAATAATTAGAAAATAACAATATTATTTCTCTTCAGGAAATTCATAAGGCTGAAATAACTCCAAAAATCAATTTATACCTTTTTTAACATGGCTAAAAAAATTCTACCGACAGACATCGAAACTGACAATATCAGCAAGAAAAGCCACGAACTCATTATTATTGCGGCCACCTTTGGAACAGAAAAGGTTAAAGGATTAAAATTGCTATGCTAGAGAAAACTCTCTGTACTGAAGACAAACACCGTTGTAACGAACCCGTGAATGTCCTTCTCTTTTGAAACAAAGTAAATCAGGGTCATGAAATAAGGTCATTCGTCTTAAACCGGGTAGCAAAATGAACAACTTTGGTCCAAAAGAGGGTCAAACTTTGGAGGCCTTGGCGGTACATCCAACGTCCATTGAGTGCCCCCCTCCCCATTCCGGGATTAAAACGCGCACATTTTGTTTGTTCAAAGACTTTTTTAAAAAATGATTTTGAAATAAAGAGTGTGCTTTTTTTTCTAATAAATTTTTATTGCTATTTTGTCATAAGGTTGAAGCTTAATGGTCAGTTATCCGCCCCATATAACAAGGCTTGTAATAAGGACAAAAGGATATTCAACAACTAAAACTTAAATTGACTTCTGTCGAAAAATATTTTATTCTGCAACATTGAATTTTACATGTACAACGTTCCTATTCTCTTAAATTTCGGAAAGAAGTCTTCGGTAAAAATTGTTCAAAAGTCAATCAATGTAACCAAAAGTTAAATTGTTCACCGGTACACATGATCACACCTTGCACCTACTCATAATCATAATTCGTACTTTTATGCCAATAAGATACAGGATGACTACTGAATGGTTTCCTCTACAAGTGGCTAAATTTTATACGTGCAATATTAACAACTCGAAAGAAAGTGAATCACTGGTTGTCTCTCTTTATGTTGTCTTCGTCCATGGTACGTATCATTTTTCGCCCCACTTCGTGGAATTTTTTCAGCATTTCTCTTTTTCCTCTGTTTCTACAATTAGGGTCAGGCCTACATCTCCCAATAGAATCTCTCCTTTGGCACCTCGGACAACTTCCTAGTGGGCGATTATCGAAGATAGTGGACTCTGACGCAACGACAAAAGCGGCAACAATAATGATCAGCAGCAGTGTAGACTTCATTTCTGCTAAAAAATAAAGCATTCAAAAGATTAATAGATTACTGGTCTTTCCTTTTTCTTAGAAATATATCTCTAACTCACGACTTAATATTATTGAATTCGTTTTGAAATAGACTGCAACAAAGCAAGAATAGGAGTCAAAATTATAGTAGCTCCTCTTAACGGCTGGAAAAAGCACCACGTCCCGATACGGAGTAGGATCAGTTTGTGATTAGCTTTTTATCCTTGGCGGATTAGTTTTGAATGCTAGACTGGGACATAAACGAATCCATTGTTTAAAAAGAAAAATTGGATTTGCACTCGTGACTGAGAGAAACCATTTTGTGGCAATAAAAGACATAAGCCAAAAATACTGTTGTTGGATTGATTCAAGAAATGTTTAAATCATTTAGTTATATGCTATAACAAATCGGTTAAAAACGGCGATTATATTAGTAGGATTCTTGTAGTAGCAGTCCTGGCTTAATGAGAAACTGACAGACAGTCCCTCTTTGACCCACCTTAGTGCTCTGCGAGATCGAAGCTCTAATAGTCACAAGCTGACAGGATAAAGTTCGGCAACAGAATGATGAAAGTTGTGTGCATCCTCTTCATAAATAAAAAACGTAAAGGAACTATGCCACGCGGTAAGCCTCCGCACTGAAGTTAGTTCAACTGCGGAATGTAGAGTGTTCTCATGCAAATTTTTTGTAACGAACAAAAGCATTTAGATAAGAAGAGAGTAAAAACATTCACAGGATTGGCTTGGTATAGCAACATAGCGGAGGTTTCATTGTCTTGGAACATTACAATGGCTGTTGTGAGATCATGCGAAAGCGCCCTATATATTTTACAGTAAAATAAAAATAACCCTGATGATAAAACTTAATTGACTTTTTCACAATAAGTATTTTTTTTTAATGAATGCAAATTTCATTGCTTGCTGCAGTAGGTGGTGTCGTCTAGATATCAGTTTTGTA